TTATCATTTGTATTTCCGTTCTAATTATTTGTTTAGTGGTGGCCATGAGGTTTGTATAGAAAACTTCGTAGATAGCCCATTTTCTGATAGCCTCTTATTTCCTTAGACTAAGCCAGTTCCATCCCTTTCCTTTTCCCTTTCTAAGTCATTATTGTCACAGCTTATTCCATGTTACATTGTGAGTTTGTGGTTAAAATGACGAGATTATATTTATTTTTTTGTGTTTTCCTTCCCTTTATCTTTAATATTATAATTGTTGCTGAGGGCTGGCCCCGAGGCCAAGTAGTTAAGTTTGTGTGCTCTGCTTTGGTGGTCCAGGGTTTCACTGGTTTGGATCCTGGGTGTGGACATGGCACCGCTCCTTAGGCCATGCTGAGGCAGCATCCCACATGGCACAACCAGAGGCACTCAGAAGTATAATATACAACTATGTACTGGAGGGCTTTGGGGAGAAGAAGAAGGAAAAAAAACCAAAAGAAGATTGGCAACAGTTGTTAGGTCAGGTTCCAATTCTTTAAAAAAAAATTGAGTGTTTGCTAACCTGTTCTGATAGAGAGCTACAATTTTCTGATTCTGTCTACCTATTCATCTCCTTGCTCAAGGCTTTGTAACTCCTTTCTTTTTTTTTTCTTCCATGTATGAGGGCCTTCTTGAGCATTTCTTGTGTGTGTGTGTGTTGGGGCATCTTGTGGCAATGAACTCCTTCAGCTTTTGTTTATCTGGGGAAGTTTTTATTTCTGCATCATATCTGAAGGATATTTTCACTGGATAGAATATTCTTGGCTGAAGGTTTTTGTCTTTCAGAATTTTGAATATATCATTCCACTCTCTCCTAGCCTTAAGTTCCTGCTGAGAAATCCACTGAAAGGAGTTCGTTTGTAAGTTATTTTATTCTGCCTTGCTGCCCTTAATATCTTTTCTTTGTCAATGACTTTTGCCACCTTTACTACTATATGCCTTGGAAAAGGTCTTTTTACATTGATATAGTTAGAATATCTATTGGCTTCTTTTACTTATATTCTAGCTCCTTCCCCTGGTTTTGGAAGTTATCTGCTATTATTTCTTTGAACAAGCTTTCTGCCCCATTCTCCTTCTCTTCTCCTTCTTGAATACCAATAATCCTTATGTTGCATTTCCTAATTGAGTCGGATATTTCTCAGAGAATTTCATCATTTGTATTTTTCTGTCCTCCAGACTGATGATTCTCCCCTCCATAATATCAGTCTGTTATTCAGGAAGTCCAGATTTTTCTTTATCTCACCCTTGGTGTTTTTCATCTCCAACATTTCTGATTGGTTTTTCTTTATAGTTTCAATCTTTTTGTGAAGCAGTGCCTGATTTCATTGAGCTGTCTATCGGTATTTCTTGTAACTCCTTGAGTTGTTTTATGATAACTATTTTGAATTCTCTGTCATTCAGATTATAAATTTCTGTGCCTTCAGGATTGATTTCTGGGTGCCTGTCATTTTCCTTCTGGTCTGGAGATTTAATATATTTTTTCATGCTGTTTGATGGCATGGATTTGTGCCTCTGCATAGTGATAGCATCTGGTCACAGCTTCCACCTTCCTCACCTGGTTGGGGGTCAAGAGCTGTGTATTCTGAGCCTGATGTGACCCTGGCTCACTTGCTCACAGTTACTGCTTTTCTAACCTATGTGTGGGCGCTCTGGTCAACTGGCTGAACTGGAGTGCCGGGCAGGCGGAGGCATGCTTTCTTTTGCCTGTGTGATTCCGGGGACATACTCATTCTGCCCTCGCTATCTGCTCTCCTGCGGTGTTGGCTTGAGGAAGACATCCCCACAATAGCTTGGTCATCTTTGTATGGAGCTTTCACAGGGGCTGTGAGGGAATTTGGAGGGTGAAGGAGTTGCCATGGAAGGCTGCTCCTCTTTCCTTTCCTCTCAGCCACATGCAGTCCTTTGCCCAGGGTCACTGCTGTTGGGGAGAGAGAGGAGATCCCCTTACCTCCTTCCACTTCCTCCAGGGTGTCCAGCATCTCCAGCTTCAGACATATGGCTGCATGGGTCTCAGACATCTTTTGTGTTGTGTGAATGTTTTCCGCTGGTGTGTGAATTTTCTTTTGGTTGTATCTTAGGGGAAGAGTCTAAGGGGAGAGCTCACTCTGCCATGATGCTGACCTTTGAAATAATTTTTAATGTGTCATACAAGTGAAGTTACTGCTTTTCTTAGAATTTCCTTGCCTAAATTCTTCCACTAATTTTTGCAGAAGAATTTAACAAACATTTTGTCAAGTTCCAAAGACAAATGTCATCTCCCATGAAGATGATGGTCAGAATCATTATTGACACTGAGATGGGATCTTAGTCATAAAAAGGGAGGAAATGAAACCATGGCATCATTAACAGATTGCACACAAATGAACAATACCTAGCTCTTCACAACACCCATTGTGGGCCAGGTACTGTTCCAGAGAGTTTTACAGGTACTGTTTGATTTAATCCTCAAAACCATTGTCGTGATGTGGAAACTGTGAGCCTTTCCACGCTCGCTCCAGGGGTCACAGCTGGCCAGCCTTGGGACAGAATTCAGGCCGTCTCTGCCAGATGCTGTGCTTTCGGCCATCTGGCTTGGCTGCTCTCGTGTTGTCTGATGAAGCAGAGTGCAGAGGCTACTTAATTATAGGGCTTCTATTTAACATGCCTTTCGTCTCTACTGCACCACGCACTTTCACATACTTTATCTCACTTTGTGCCCCTTTCTTTGTGCAGAACATATACAAATGCACAGCTGAGCCCACTGGCCTCATGAGAGAACTTTATGCAGGGTTGAGAACCTCTGGTTTATATCTTTATGAAGCTTCTCTCATCAAGCTGGTTTCTTTAGTTTTATGGTTTCCTTTATCATACACATTAAAAATCATGGCCATACATCAAAAGATATTGGTTTGTAAGTTGTTAACAGGTAGTCAAACTTTAACGTTCAGCCATCCTTATTAGTGAAATTACAATTTATTATCTTCATTAATAATCAGAGAATTTTAGAAAAATATATTGGGGAAAAAAGGCAAGAACACCAACCAAAATATTAACCATTTTAGATTTCATGGTGGATGTTCATTTTTACCTGGTGGGAGACGGACAAAAGACATGAGCAGGATTCACGACCACTGCGGGGATGTGACAGCTACTCTACATTGTCCCTTGCTGGCAGCGAGGTTTTCTGCTCTCTCTACCACTGTGGCCCTCAGGGAAGGGGCTGGTTCAAGTCCCCATTGGGGTGGCCAAAAACAAGATCTTCACCAGACAGGAAGACAAAGCACATCAAAGCCCTTCTAGTTCTCAGAGAATATGGGAAGGAGGAAAAGGTCAGGTCAGGAGGTCAGTGCCTTGTCGTTGACCCCCTCCCTCTGCCTCAGGCTTCAACTCAGAGGACAGATTTGGGTAAAGAGGACAGGCTATTAGGTGTCGTCTGAGGAAGGCCACAAGGAGAGTCCCGGTCATGTCTGACGTGGCCCTTCACCCTTGTAAAGTGTCCAGTTCAGTGGCTTCTAGTTCATGCACAGATGTGCAACCTTCCCCACCATCTAATCCTGCGCCTGCAGCCTTTCTCAGCACAGCTGTGCAGAGTGGAGAGAGAACAAACCCAAGGGACCAGACAGAGGTTGCTGTGTGTTCTTACTCAATACCTCACATTCTGTGCATATCTGTAAGGCTGGTTCTTCAAAGACAAGATGTAGGCAGCCTCAGTCACGTCTGATGTGGTATGTCAGACCCACGGTTCCCTAAACGCCAGTCTCGGTGGACGTAGCAGGACGTTGGAGAACATACGCAGGTGTCTTCGGCGTGTTCATAGACATTGTGAGGGAGTGACCTGAGAGCTTCTTTGTTTAGTCACTGTATCGTTCCCTTGATTCATAATCAGAAATCCTAGTTTAATAGCAAGCCCTCCTGTCCTGTCAGTGAGTCGACTAGATGGGCAAAAGATTCATGCACACATCAGAGGCAGAACAAGAGATCTCATCTCCAGAAAATAGGATGATTTCTTTCAAATCACTTAATCATGTCCATGAGGGATAGTGGGGATCAGAAGTTCCAGGGCCGGCTCCGTGGCCGAGTGGTTAAGTTCGCACGCTCCGCTGCGGCGGCCCAGGGTTTGGATCCTGGGCGGGGACATGGCACCGCTCGTCAGGCCACGTTGAGGCGGCGTCCCACATCCCACAACTAGAAGGACATGCAACTAGGATATACAACCGTGTACGGGGGGGTTTGGGGAGATAAAGCAGAAAAAAAAAAAAGATTGGCAACAGTTGTTAGCCCAGGTGCCAATCTTTAAAAAAAAAAAAAAAAAAGAAGTTCTGTTAACCTTCGTGCCACGAGAAAAGTAAAAAATGGCTAGTGTCCCATTAGGTAGTGAACAGAAGAGAGGAAACCCGGAAGAGAGGTGGGGCCAACAGAGGAAGAAGAGAAAGTCCCAGGGCGAGGGATGAGGAAAGAGGAATGCACAGAACCCCGGGGGCACAGAGCAGCTGGCGCCACCTGCCTCGTGTTCCACTCTGACGTGGGAACCCACACCATACACTTTTAGGGGGTCCGTTTCTTTTAATAGAAAACAAACACCGTGCATTCTAAGAGGCTAGTGACAATGAAAGGGAGATGTGTTGCAATTATTTAAAAACAATTGTATTGTGTAGCCATTCAAAGAAATGGTGAAGGAACTGGGTTTGAAAAAGTCAGTGACACTATGTGTTCCAAGTCTTTGTGGCTTTTTTAGGAGAAGGTTTGTGAAAGGAACTCCCCAGTGTTTGGAGGCTGACCCCAGCAGCATCTGAACTGTAATTGTTTCATACTAAGCTAAGATTCGGGAGTTCAGGGCCACCAGAGACAGTGCCAGTGCTCCCGAGGGAATGCGGTGAAGAGCAGGTGCTTTCCAGAACACTGGGTGTCTTCTAATTACACTTTGCTGAAGAAACATTGCTCTGAAAAAGGCCAACTGTCATCCCAAACAGGCAAAGACTGAGAAATTCTAACGAGACACATGATGTTCTCTCATAAAAATCATTTATTGGCACACCAGAAATATCCATTTTTTCTAGCACAGTAGCTATATGCTTTGTTCTGTAATTGTTCTAGAACAGCAATTTTGTGAAAACTCTGTGTTACAAGTCACTGGAAATCTAATTAGCAGGACGAATTTAATAAAGAACAAGAGTAACTATGAGTCTACAGCGGCCCAGCCATCGAGTCTCCGTGGAGAGTAAATCAAATGTGAAACCGGTGTTGTCCTGCAACAGAGCGTTTCTGTAGCCGAGAAAACCCGGGAAGGGCACAGACAGAATAGCACCCGTTCAATAAATCAGGTACGCTCACCTAGGAAAACACTGCGACTGACGGAGATCACCCAAGTCAAGGAAGCAGAAGAGAAAATCGTTAGCTATTTACAGGTAATACTTTTTGCCAAAACTTTTTGTTAGCTTTCTCATCCCCCTCTTCCCTTCTATTTGTTATTCTTGTTTTTCGACAGTAAATTTCTTGGCTCACTGGCGAATATTTAGACAACTAATCAGAACCTCTTTCCAGGTGCTACATTTTCTAAAACTCAATGACAAACTAAGAATCTGAAGGGTGACTTGAGAAGCCCATCCCCCTATGGAAGTGGAAAGCTATCTGAGTTTGCGGTCAGTCAGCGATGACGTACAGTTTCATCTTCTTCCGGTCTTCATCTGAACTTCTCTGGAGAGTGGGGCTGTGAATGGTAGCAGAGCGATGGGTTTCTCACTTGTAACAGGCACAGACAGTACACATGAGACAGGCGTGTTTATCCTGAGAACGTGAGGGCCGTGGGCTGCAACCTAAGATCCCATCCCTGGGACGGGTCCTCCTCCCTCTGGTCACTGTAGTTTTTCACACTCATTTTTAAGGCTTAGTAGCAGTGCAGCATTAACAAATAAGAATGCTGATGCCAGCTCTACCAGGGAAGGGCTCCGATGCACGGCAGCAGGCACTATGATTAAAATTGTGCGGCTGAAAGGCATTGAGCTGGTACATTTCTGGTGCCGTGGCCACAACGGGTGGATAGTGGAACTGGAAGATCTTACCAATGAGCCTCTGTGCCCCTTGTTGATTCCTCTCTAGCACTTGTAACAATTTGTCATTATGTAACTTTCTGTTTGCTCCCGTAAGCTCCAGGTGGGCAGAGACCACGCCTGTGTATTCAGCACCGTGTCTCCAGTGTCTAGAACAGTGCCTGGTCCATAGTAGGCTCTCCATTAAACACTTGCATCAAACAAATGAACCAAATCATTAAGGCCCCTGGTCTGCCAATGTCTACAGACTTTCCAATTTCGTTTCGTGACCAGGGTCTCCGGCCTGTCCTAAGGAACCAGCCGTCCCAGTGAAGCTACCCCACGACCAACCTTTGTGTGATGTGTGGCTGACATTTTTGTGCTTCAACGGGTAGTCACTGCTTCTCAGTGCTACATTCTCTCTGCCCTCCTCCCAAAGATGAGCTATGCCGCGCCAGCACCGCCCCAGCGGGACGAGCACAGGAACATTCTCCAAGGTGAGGCACAAGCTCCCAGTTCAGCTCCTGCTTCCTTCCCTACCTCTCCCGACATCTTTGTCAGAAAGCTTGAGAAGAAAGCGAGCAGGAGAACTTCCTCCTGGCAGCGCCAGTTCAGTAACTCACCAATAACATGATCAGAAAAAAATATATATATAACTCACCTACATAAAAAATTTAGTTAAATAAAAGCAAAATCTGGGAGTGGAAACAGAGTGAGGGGTGGGCTGTCTAGGTCCTGGGTTGGTCAGAACTGCCGACCGTGGAGGCGAACGCAGGCGTCACAGCCGTAGGGAGCTCAAAGGGAGAGGCGCGGGGCTGTGGGTGTGCAGACCAGAGGACCAGCTTTCTCTCCTCCTCCGCCCCCTCCTCCCAGCTCTCTGACGTGAGCTCCTTGCTGTGGCTCTGGCATGGGGGAAGAACGGGCAGCTGGTGCCTCCACAGCACATCCTTAGGCTATTGACGCTCTGCTGGAGTAGAAGTCGGGGACCGGGAGCCCAGTGTGCAGCGTGACCTGGGGGAAGAGACTGTGAGTCCTGGAGGCCTGGCAGGAGCCTCCTGCATCCCCTCCCCAGGGCACGGAGGGGCAGGTGTTCCTAATTCAAGTGGGCATCTGTTTACTTCTCTTTAACGTCTATTCTCATAGACGTTAGAGAGAATTCCAGAAATATTCTGCGTGTGCTGAGAACCTGGCCACCAAGGTGGGCTCCCAATCCTGGAGACACTGGATAATACGGTTCCCATCCACCTGCCTCTTTCAAGGACTCTGAGGAGACTGCGTCCCTGTGACTGAAGGCGCAGGAATGGATTTTCAGGGAGCAGAGCCTGCTGGCCACCTCACAGGCGCACTGCAAAACCCACGGAGAGAGGACAGACGAGCAGACAACTCTCCCCTACTACTGGCCCACTGGTTATTCCAGCCAGGATAAACCTCTCATTTGGGGGTTGCCCCAAAGATGGCTGGGTGTGAAGAAACATGGGCACTGACACTCCACTGCCCTCTGTCCAACCTCCCACCTCGACGGCAAGGCTGGAACCATCTCATGCGGTACCATCGTCTCCCCGCTTCTTGTCCCTTGTCGTCCTCCCCAGCCTAAGAGTCTTTATCTAAAGATGCTCAGAACGTCCTGGAGACCCCTGAAGAGTGTCAAGTGCAACATTCTTGTAAGGGAAACAGTTGAAAATGTGGAAAACTTTGAATGAGGTTTTTCTAAGACTCACTTCTAGGGCAATTTAGGGGTTTTTTCCTTCCAATGTAGAGGCTGAACTCTGAAGGATTAGGTTTCAGCCTTCCAGAAAACCCCATGGAGTTGCAGGGACTGAGAAGGGCAAGGCCACTGAGTTGTGGCTGCTTTGACTGCACATATTGATAGCAGTGGACCTTCATGCTCCCAACGCTGCCTCTGAACAGAGCAAACCCCCGCAGGGTTCTGATCCTCCAGGTCTGTCCGTCTATGGCAGCCACGTGCCGGACCAGCTTCTCAGCTGACAGTGAGGTTCCCGCTCAGGGGAGGGGAAGCCTGGGTGGAGCAGTGCTGGCAGGGCCTGCGGGGCTGTGACCTTCCCCACTGCCCCATCTGCCTTGGCCCCTCGGTCCCTCCTTGCCCCTGCGAGGCCCCTCCAGCCTGAGAAGCTGTGCAGCTGCTCCCTCTGCCTGGAGAGCCCCCCAGCTCCGACCCTCATTCCCTCGAGGCTCAGCTCTCTGTGACCCCATCTGCCCACCGGCGCGGACCACCTGTTAGGAGCACGGCCGCCTCCCCCACCACAGCCCGGCTAGTCCCCGCACCACCACTGCTCTTCCCTCAGGTGCACCTGCCACCTCCTAACACCCGGATAATTAGTGGAGGAACTGTGGTCGTCGCAGTGGTCTGTCTCCCGTCTCCACAGCCAGGACTGTGCTCCAAGAGGACAGGCCTTCGCGGGTGAACACTGCAGTGCTGCAATGCGGCCTGACCCTCCAAGGCCTCAACAGACCCGGGCCCAGGAAGGAGGGCGAGGTCGTTCTCTGTTTAGAGTAAACCTGAGTCACCACCTCATGGGCAGGGACGTCCCCACGGCACCAACAGAACCCGGTGGGGGCGCGGGAAGGGCTCAGGGCTCTGACAACGTGGGGACACCTCAGTCCCACACCCCTTCTCAGCTCTCGCCGGGCTCTGGGCAACTGTCTCTCTCGTGTCCACGGCAGCTTGTTCAGGCGATCCATTTCCACCAGAGCCGAACCAGGCTCGGAGTGGCTGTGGCCCGCAAACCAGGAGTGGAGCTCCGCTCCCCACTTGCTGTCGGTGACTGTGTCCACATCCAACCCGGGCCATGCTGGCCGGGAATCACCGGTGTCAGCATCCATCCCTTTCCCTCCTCCTCCCCCCACGTCCCCGGGGGCCCGGCCGGGGTGCTTACCTGCACGTTCCGGTTCAGGCTGACGGCCGGGAAGAAGAGGCCATCCACGTTCTCAAAGGCGATGGGCCCCTGCTGCTCGTCGTTGATAAAGAACGTCAAGGTTTTTCTGTTTAAGTCGAGCAGCACCCCAACCGTGGCCCCCTTGGCGATGCCTCCCTCAGTTCTGTGGGAAAGAGAACAGCTGCGTTTCATTTCCCGTCATCCTTCCAGAAGCTCCTGCTTCATGGTTAAACCAGTGTTTCTCAACCTGTTTCAAACGGTCACCCCACCCCCACCCCAGGAGCCTTTAAAACATATCTTTCCCTAATTGCTCCTCCTCATACAAAACTTTGATACCACAGCTACACTGTGCACCTGTTTACATGCTGCATGTGTATCTGTGCTTTACAGAGAAGGAGAGTAAGATGCTTTGCTCGCCCCGCAAAGTAATTTTCACTCCCGTGGAGGCTGCTGCTGTGTTGAGAATGTGGAGGGTCACCCGCTGCTCTGCTGTCGCTGAGGGTGAGCACGGCTGTGGACAACAAGGCGACAAAGACACAGAAAGTCGCCTGTGGGCTGTCAGAGCTCGGCCCACAGCTGCCGCACGCTGCACAAATGGTGCGAACTAAACCGCATTCAATTCAACATGATTTAATTTGAAAGTCAAAATGAAGAGGCACTTAAGGCGAACCTAAAACATATGCACGAAAAATTGGATTTGGGGTCTTATGCTCCACTAAACAGAAAACTCATGCCAGAAAGATGCTAACTTTTGGCTTGTTGAGTTCGAATTAAGAAGTTGGAGGCTCTCTGTAAAATGACAACATCAGAGAAGAGGACTCTCCCCTGTACAGTGAAATAAATGCGCTGCAGGAGGGAGCTGAAGGTCCCTGCACTCAAACGTCATTCTACAAAGACTCGCGTCTTATGCTTCCGCTGATGGTCTCACAGGAGCCCTGCAGCCTGGGCGATCGGATGGGTCCTTTCCCGCTCTGAGATCGAGCACTACTGAATTTCAGCCTCCTCTCTGCAGAGCATGGAAACCGAGGAGTGTGGCTCTTGCCCCTGGCACGCGGAATGCACACTGTACACAGTCGTCACAGACAGGTCTGTAAACTGCGTCTTGTTGATTCGTAGCTCCCACAATGTGTGCAGTTTGCACGCAGGCAGACACGTTCAGCTTTAAGAATGTTTCCCTGCACGGTGTGTCAGTTGTGTTATGATCACTCCTTCTCTCCAAAATAAAGACGCCAAAGGGGGAAGTGGGCATGGTAGTGGGTGTTGGCATCAGGGATCTGCTAAGAGGGCTCCCTCACACGCACACCACCACAGAGGACGGTGCACCTTCATCCAGTTGGATTGGATACCAGGCTGAAACGTGTGTGTTCACTTCCAGTGATCGTGAATAAGACACACCCGAGTGGACTGGTACAGAAACTATGCCGGGGACAGGACGTGGAGGCCCTGGGAGCCCTACTAGCTACAGAAGGGCAGTGACGACAGTACTGTGATGAGGGACACGGTGGCAACCGCTCTCCATCATGCCTGGCTCACTTTCCTCTGGATATGACTGGACACAACTGTATTTTTTTTTCAGGGACCCCAGTGAGAATGTATCCTGGGGAAATCTTGGAGAATAAAGTGGACCAGGGCTCATGAGAGACATTTCTCTGCCTAGGAAATTTTTGAAAAATATCTTTGAAGAAGGACACACAAACCCAACGAAAAAGGGATGAGGGAAAACATCATGGTAGGGGTTGAACTGTAATCGCCTACATTTTGGCGGTAGAGGAAACGCAAGGAAAGCACCCTGTCCTCTTTCCCAGCAAACCGGGTGCTCTGAATTCACCCAACAATGAGACAGTTCCTCAAGCATAAAGATATCCAAGTTGGCATCTATAACATTTAGTTCAATGAACGGCTGCTATTGTGAGCAGTGGCATCGATAATAATCCTGGTAAGGAGAATGGCTTCTATTCCAGGCGCCTCTGTGTGAGGCACTTCTGCTGATCCCATTTAATCTGGGGACACTCCCTCATGGAAAAATATTATTATCCTAATTTGGTGGATTTGGAAACCGAGGTTCAGAAAAACTAAGTAACTTGTCCAAAAGGGCTTTTCTGATAGTTTGTAGGTCTGGATTTTAGAATCCTGGAATGTTTTCCTACAATGGGGATTCTCAGTTTCTAGGCATGGGCAGAATAGAGCAACGAAGGACATAGGATGTGCTCAAGTCTCCGTCATGCAAAAAAATAAACCACCAGGATGCACTCAGCTAAGGGCAGTCAACTTCTGTGCCACTGCATGCCATCTTTACTGCTGTCTATCTAACAGGTCTCTGGACCTGGGCTCTCGTTCTTGACCAGAAGCCAACGTGAAGAAGGCTTGGTTCGGGGGCTGCAGGGTACCTGTTGGTGTGCGAGTTGTTGTGCATGAACCAGCTCCGGTTATTGTCCACATACATTGCCCAAGCTTTGTCGTCCTTTCCTAACATCACATCCTTCGTCACGTCGATGCGAGCCACGCCGAAGGCTGGGTCGGGATGGTTGTCATAGCGGTCTACAGTCAGCTCCCAGTAGTGGACGCCCTTGGAGAAGCCGGTCTTCCCCAGCACCACCCGGTCATCATAGCTACTGCACGTCACAGTCAAGTTGTCATTGGAGAAGATGATGTCAGAGTGCGCCGAGCCAGGGTCGAAAGCAAACCAGGCCACTGGGAACACAGAAGGAATGGGGTTACTGAGGAGGACAGCACACTCCTGGGCGGGTGAGGAGCATCATGTCCCCTGTGCATGCTGCCATGCAGGAAGGAGGCACCAGGGCCTGAGGGGCGTGAGTGAACAGATGGGGCACATCCTGGGAGGCGATACTCGGCGCCCAGAAGCAGACAGAGAACACACGACCAACTCAGCAGGGGTCACCTGGATCGGACTGCACTCCCAACCGAGTGATCCGGGAGTGAAGTGGCATCGATTTTGGAAGGTGCAAGTCCCTTCACCCGGTGACTGGCAGAAAAGTGCGCCAGACACATAAGGGGAGAGGGATGTGCTAAGATGCCTGTGTAACCCTGAGGCGGGAGGCTAGGATCTAGAGTCCTGGATGAGGGGGGATAAAACACTGCGTGAGACCAGGAAACAGCCCACTGGCAGAAGTGCTAACATCCAGTCATCTGAAAATTTCCTCAGTGCCAGTGACAGCTCAAAAGCCGGGAAGCTATCGGCAGCAACATAAACTAATTTCATGAGTGGTTGCGACTAGGACATAAGACAGGTTGCTTCCTTCACAACTTGAAAACACAGTTTGCGTGTTACTCCTGAGACTACACGTAAGATATTTTGCTGCAGTGGTAGGTATTTTGGATATTAGGCATAGAGAGAAGGCCGTCTCCGGACACAAGGTTACGCCCCGAATTCCACACGCGGCCTCCAACAACACCCTCCAGAGCGTAGCCGCTGCCTCATGGCCGGGGCCCACCTCCCTCGCACTGTGGTCTTTGCTATTTGTAAGAGAGTAAAGTTATTCCATACCTGCCAACAGCTTTTTAATGTCAACTGTGGTCGTTCCAAGTGAAAGGCATGGGAGAGAGAAATAGGAAGCAAAATTGACATTGGTAACAAAACATGTCTCTTTCGACGGACAAATACCAAAAAGGGGCTCAATTTAAAACACCACATACAATGCAGGCGTCCGTCTGACTTGGACCTCTATCCACGCTGAGTGCTCGTGAAGAGCGCTTTGCATGATGTGTACGAAAACTGGGGAAAAAGTCATCTTCTTTGAGGTATAAAATTTAAAAATACAGGGATCTTTTCCATTTTTCTAAGCATCTGAGAAACTGTTGTGATGGGAGTTGAATGACAATTAGACAATCTTTTGCCATAAAATCAGCTGTGTGATTGACTCTACGCAGGCAGTGGAGTGCCAGCCCCATCAGCTACAGATAACAACACAACAAGGATACTTGCCTAGTTGAGAGTAAGGTGCGGACTGTGTCTCAAAGTTGCCTCCTACAAAGAGAGACTACACATCAAAGTATGAAACAACACCCAGGCTGATGAAAATGACTCGTGCACACTTAACAAGCACAGCTGAAGAGTCACAAGTCCTGATTCACGAAAAACTGAAGCCCGTTTCATGTTAGTTTAGTTTACTGGTTAAAAATGGCCCCTCTGCTCTTTCAAAATAAAAAGTACATCTTTTTCCATTTAATAAATCCTCCTCCAATTGACTCTCAACTGTACAGCTTAAATTTTCATCATCTCCCAAGTTCAATCTTTTCCACTAAAGTTTCCATATTTAGACAGCTTACTGTTTAAAAATGAGAAGACTTCCTCCAATTGAAATGGCGAGATCACTGAATCTTGACACAACTCCTTCCACATTATTATTCCATGCACTTCTAACTCTGGTCATGCCAAAGGCTTCCTTGTGACTTGGGCCCCAGTCAAATGACAGATATAAATGTGTAATGTAATCCATATGTTAATAAATACATCCGATAATTACTAATAGTGCCATGAATTATGTATTAAGTGTAGTAATGTAGCATAATGTAGTAAAATAACCTCGTCTCTTCAAATTGTTTCACTATGGAACCCATCTCCCCTGAGGGAGGGGCAGGGCTGGAGGACCATGGGGTGGGAGTGGGCTCACAGATATATTAGGATCACCTGTGGAACTTTGTCACCACCTGCCTTGCTTGAGATTTGGGTTCCCTGCCTACCCCAGGAGAAGCCGCATGGGGTGGAGGAAGCAGTGTAGTCTCACAATGTTCAAAGGTGAGTGAACCTCAATTTCAAGTGGTATCGGGACTGATCTAGAAAGCGTTTTTGATGAGCGCTAAGGGATCCCCTAGAAAGGGTCATTTAATTTTTCAACTCAGTAAAGCCCTTCTAGGATAATTTCTAAAACAGTTGAAGGATAATACACTGAATGAAAAGGATTTTAGAGGAATTAAGAAAGCAACTTAGAAAGGACTAATGATTGAGTTAAAAACAAAATTTAAAGATTACGATGTTACTTTTGGTTGCTTTATTTTACTGTGGGATGAATTCACACACAAAAGAATCATTTTCTCCCAACTCAGGCTGATTTTTATGCTTAGTTTCTATCAATTACCACTTCAGTTCCTAGTCACGGGTTAGAGCCTGGTGAGTCCGGAACACAAGGAGTTTTAAAACGGAATCTCATATCCAGCTTTGGAAATGAATTTGCAGAAATTGAATAGGGCTTTGAAAATTTTTAAATGAATCAGGCCTCGTGCAAGTCTTTTTCAAAACAAGTTTTCTGAAATCTTTTTACACTACTTTAAACAAACCATTACACATTTAAGGTTCAACGATACAACTAGAACAATGCTGTCAAATGTCCCCACACCCACATTTCATTTTATTCTTGACACAACGTTCATTACAAAGACTGTAACAGTATTTCAGTACATTAGACACAAGTGAGAGTTCCATAACAAAGCATGTTAGAAAGCCAGTCGTGCACAGAAAAACAACAAGAAACGTGAAAGCACAAAGAAAAATGTCGTTTTAAAGAGAGCTTGAAGTTCTTGCACCCTTTTTGCACCGTCATGCTGTGGCCTCCTTCATTCCGGGATGTGAGATGAGCAAAAAGAAGAAAATCAAAAGAAAAAGAAACCTCTGGAAACGTGAAATGTGCAGCATGTGTATCCATGATTACAATATAGTCCTGAAGAGATCGGATGGGTCTGCATCTGAGATACTTTCAGATTCCATCGCTAGAGTTCACTGCACAGGAACACAAGGCTAGCTGCCCTGGAGACAGCCTACCGCCCTGTCCCAACCTGCTTGGCTGTGGGGAACTTCAGGGAGGCCGGACTTTTCAATGACTCTGCTCTTAGGCTAGTTAAGGGTTTCTAATTCAGCTAGTGGTGGTCCCTTCCCTTTGCTTGGAAAAGAATCAGCCGTAAGCCCAACTGGCCTACCAGTGAGCACAGCCTTCTGCAGAAAATACTTCCACTTTCTGCTCTCTGGTTTGCCTGCTTTGTATGATGCATTCTGCTGTTGGCGTGCTTTGACTTTTATTTTACTTTTTCAGTAAAGATCTCTTGAGTCTATGTTTAATCAGGCCACTGCAGGCTGGACGCGCTGATCCAGTCCCCCAGACACGGCTGGTTTCCTGGATACAGCAGGGTTGCAAACCTCCAGACTCAGGCCACAGCCTCCACCAGCCAGCGCCTGTGCCGTGTGGTGCCACTGCGCGTGATGACAGAGCAGGTTATCCATGGCAGTACCAGCTTGTGCAAAAAGAACAACTTCACTCATCACTTTCCAATGCCATCATACATTGACCACAGCTCGATGGCTGGTCCTCCCACCACACAAACAAGAACGTCACAAAGCTCCATCATCCAAACGTTCCTCATACAGGAAGCAGGCCACAGACAGAGACGAGCCCATCGCCCTCTCCACGCACATGAATGGCAAGAACAAAACAGGTGTTTCAGAGATGCCTCCAAGGCACAGAGATCAAGAGAAAGATGAGATGAGCTCAGCTCACCCGGTACATTGAGGGACTGTAAAGAGGAATGCAAGCTCAGCTGGTGGGGTGAGGATCGGAAATCAAAGTAGGATCTCCTGGGGAAGCTGGGTTGTAGATTAAGGGTGGAGGAGAAAGGACTCATTCTACGGAGCGGCAACCTTTCCGAAGGCACTGGAAAAGGGAGGGTCTGTTCTTCTGAATCTGTGTCTAAACGCAAGATCAATGCAAACTAGAGATCAGAAATCCGCCACCTGCCCAAGCACGGTTCCCCAAGATCTGTCTTACCAACCGACACATTGGCACCGAGCCTCGTCCATCCCGCGGGAGACCCAGGCATCTACAGACCAAAGTGGCCTGTGGCTGGGAGGGAATTCTCGGCAGGTCAGGCCCCAAGACCACATCACAATTGTTTCCATTTCCCCCTCAATGATTAGAGGTAGAGAAGTATTTTGGAAGGCTTCCTTTTAATTGTGAAATATTTTTAGAATTGAATTCAGAAACGTTAGAGGTAAAATGTATGCACTGATGACCAAGAGGAGCCGAATACTTTCTCCCTTCAGCCATCTCGGAAGTTACCACCAGTCCGTGATGGCCTCCTTAACGCTTTGCTGTTCCATATTTTCCCCTTTCTCTCTTAATACATCTGTTTCCATTTCCAAATGGATGAGATGATTTTTCTAAACCAGCGCACTCAAGACTTGCTCCTCGAACAGGCGAGAAAGACAGGGCTCAACCTACAGCCAGGGACAGAGCCCGCCTTTATTTCTGACTTAGGATCGGACCCCACAGACACCATTTTGACACCTCTGGGTCTGTCGTAATAAACAGACCTGGGGCTGTGTGAGGCAACGGTGGCAGAGGGTCCACTTTCAGACAGTCAGGTCTGGCATGAGGGTCATGATCACAGAATAAGGGCTTATCTTGATCTGGCTTTAGAGGGACATCTGAGGTACTTTCTCTAAATTACTAAAACCACTCCTTTCCCTTTTGTCAAACAATTAGAGTGGTTTGGCCAGAGACAGATGTCTCAACAGTTGGGGCTTTCTTAGAACTCAGTGTGATGGTAACAATTCAGGAAATACGCCAGGCATGGTGATAACATTCTATCTCCAAAACCACCAAGGAACTTCCTTCTCATTGAAAAAATACTTTTGTCTTGGCGGTCAGCCAGTGTTTCAGGGAATATTTTTCTGGCTTCAGTCTGTTAGCAAGCTCCTCTGTATGGGACCCAGATTCTGTCCCACCACAATGCCATCCTGGGCACATTCAAGCAAAACTAACCAGAGCTCGTGTGCGTGGAACCCGGTCCTATTTGAAGAGCTCAGAACAAGGGCATTGGCGGGCTTCTACTTCATTCCGCCAAGAGTCAGCCTTATTTTCACTTCTGAACTTACAATATTAAAGTCAGCTTTCCAGGCTTTAGATTTATCCTTGGGGGGAATTTTTTTCAAGAAAAGTATAAATCAGATCTGAGAGAGAAGGAATTTCTATTCATGGAGTTAAGGTGCTGTCTTGCCAATAATAATATATTCAAATCTTCTTCTATCTAAACTTCACATGGTTTGGGTGACTTGACATGTGTGATAATTTCTTTGTTCAGAAACAGTAAATCAGAAACGATTCCTGTTACAACTGTTTCAAGGGGGAATTAGCCGTTTCAGTTTAATGGAAAAATTTGAAATACAACAATGGGGCTCGACCAACTGACATGAGCTTCTTTTAGCGGGGGAAGGCATTCTGAGCTGTATTTATGTCAGTAAAAGATTTTTTATTAACAAGAAATTTCTTGGAAATGTATCTTTCAGGAGGTGGTAACAACAATTCATTATATTGAAAATACTTGTTGCTTTAAAGATGAAGGGAAAGGGCAAACATAGCAGAAGGAATTTCAGAGTAATCGAACCCCCAGTAACCATCTGAAAACCAGCAAAGAGACGTGCACTGAGTCAGACCCTGGGGAGCATATCCGACCCACCGTGAACCGTACTCACCTGCTCTATTCTCAGCACCAGGGGATGGCAGCACCCTGTGGTGTGGGGCTGAGAGTAGCTATGGTTATTCATGGGACCGATAACTTGACAATAAAAAGGTTATTGTTTTCTCTCCTTTCGTGTGGATCCATTGTTCATTGATGGCCCAGTTTTCCTGACTCCTCTCACTCCTGCACCATCCCCTATATGCGGGCTTATTTAATATCCATATTATGGAACCCATTCCAGCTCTGCCCTTGAGTTTTCCCACCCATGGCTTCCCACACCCTACCAGCTGGGCTCTTACTCCATTTCCTCCAAAAAAAAATTCCTTTCTTCATCATGATAACATTCCAGATGAACTACAAAGGAGAGAGAGCACTGTCCACGTGGTCCCAGCAGACTGAACAGCAGCGCCCCTTCAGGCCCTTCCCATGGGCACACGGTGCAAATGGTGGGTGAGTTGCCCATAGGTCATCTGTGCCACTTGATGTCTTCTTAGACTGCAGGAGTCTTAGAGGGAAGATGCTGATCTTGATAACATCTGAGGAGCAGTCATCAGGCTTCCTGGAATTGCCCCAGGGTGAGGAACTCCTCCCCTCTGGGCGCCCTGGCCAGGCTGTGGGTGTTGCTTCCACTGGTCTGGATGTACTCTTTGGGGGTTCCTCTCATCAGCTGGCATTACCATCTGGGCCACAGAGAACAGATCACCAGTTCTTCAAGTATTTGAGGGTGGTCACTGACCCCCTTTGCATCTTCCTTTTTCTGGGCTACACAGAATCTATTTCCAACCTTTCTTCTGTGGTAAATTTCAAATCTTTACTCTCCTTGTCATGCCCCTCTGGACACGTTCAAAGACATGAGCCAAAGAGAGTAAGACAATACCGGGAACAGTACGGCCTCTGCTGGTTTGGCCAAGTCACACTTAGCGCACACTGAGCACACACTCAGCTCCCCAAGTGTGTATTCTGTGCTGTGCCTGTGAGTGTCGCATTTCCTCCCCTCCCCTTCCAAGCACAGCTACTGGGATCTGGAGAAGGCGTCTCAGCCATCGATCCTTGCAGTCAAGACAAAGGGGACGGAGTTATGGTTTCTTTCCGACTACATGACACAAAGTTATGTTTCAGGTCATGGCTAATATCCAGGATGATGATTATTATTTTTAAGGGACAGATCACTAGAGAAAGACAAATAGCTCCTCAAAAGATTTTTGCTCCCTCTTCACGATTCATCACCTGCCGTGAACTGTGTGCCAAAGAGCTTGGCTGAGGGACAGCGAGTGGTTCAGCAGGAGAGAGCGATGGGGACCAGCGCGCCAGCGGAGCAGCATTGGTGTGGCGGCTCCAGGCAGGCCTGTGACTCCTAATGGGATGTGTCGAGACACGTCCCGTTAACTCTGTCAATGACCATCGTTTCCTCTGCCCTCGCCGGGACTGCTGCCCTTCCCACCTGCGACTGGCTGGATTCTGGTGTTGGGGCCTCTGCTTGAAAGCAGCAATCAAGAATTATCAAATATCAGCTGGGGGACCACACTTATTACTTACTGAGTTTTGGGTTGGAGGAGAAAAAGGAATACCTGGGTGGTGTACTCCTGTTTGGCTTACTGTATATTTCTTTCACTGTTCGTTAGCTAACATTCATTGAACACCTACCATGTGCCAGACACTGTATTAGAACTGAGCAGCTGGGAAACATGAAGTCGGCAGGCGGGCTGACTGTAAAAATAATACCTTGGAGAAAATCTGTGTCTTAGATTATTGATTGATTTTTACACTTCGGGGGTGTAGTTTCTTGACTGATTACAACATGTACAGATACTAAAGCTTTCCTTGGATGCGGTAGAATATTTTGGAAAGGTAAAGTACAGTCTTTGAGGTGTTATTTTTGGGATTCAAAGAGGAAATGCAGAGTGACAGGGGTTCCTTAGGACAGTGCGTGCTAATCCGGCTGCCTTCGTGCCCCATCAGAATTCTCATTGTCTTCTTGTCTGGAAGTGAACAGCCTTCATAACTTAGCCCTTGGGCGCTGGTCCCACAAGACCGTTGTGTCTCAGAGCACAGTCGAGCAAGAAGTGTCACTAACGCCTGCACAAGCAGCGTCGGGATGCGTCTCAGTTCCACTGGAGACCAGCCTTTTCTTGGGAAGATTTTAAGAGACAAAGAAATGAATGAGGGAGGCTGACTTTCCTTCAGTGATCTAATAAGCATCCAAAGCCACAATTATGTGAAACTGGTGTGTAATTTACAACAAAAGGTGGTATTTTAAGCTTCCTTAAGTATGGCATTAATTGCAGTTGAGAGGTGATGAACAAACCTGTTTTGAAAACCTCCCTTCAAAAGAAGAAATGGAACAGCCTCTCCTCACCCCTGGCCAGCTGCACACGCCATCACAGGTCCTCCTCCCCAAGTTGGAACACCACGGCCTTCTTTATAAGGAACAACCATCAGAAGAACTGGAAATTCTATATTCCAAATAGACACAAAAGAGTCCAAAGGTCTAAACTGCTCCCCATCGTGTCGACTGCAAAGCACATTCCCCAGAACCAAAAGCAGGGTCTGGATCCAATTCAGTCCTGGGAAAAATTCAGGGAATTCCCAGGGATAGCATGCATGCGGTCAAAATTAAAAGGAACAAAGTCTCTCCCTTTTCTGGGCTCTGAAAACTATCATTATGCCTCTCACCTTGGATTTTGTAAAATCTACTCAAATTTGTTCAGATACGATTTACCTACCTTGAGGATTTTGTCCTGGGAATGCATATTCTTCTAACTAAATAATTTTCTGGGAGGCTCTGATGCTCTGAGTCAGGAGAAGCAGACAGAGGCATAGGAAAACATCTCCAGGGGACCATAGGCTTTTCCTGATATGGTCCTTTCTCAACTGTCTCCTATTAGTGTTGAATTTCAGTAGCACAGGCAGAACTTGAAGACGCGTTGAGACCCTTGGAGGAGGCAGAAGGTGTCTATACCCATTCATAGCATTTTCTGAAACATTTAACAGCTTTCAGCAGTAATTCTGAAGAGAGAAGCCACAGAAGAAAGCCAGGAAGTACTAATTGTGAAGAACTTGGAGGGCACCTGCTCCAAGTCCACAGTTTTAGAGAGAAAAATACTGGAGTCCATAGAGGTTAATGGACATATCCGAGTCACACTGCCAGCTGTGAGGGGACAGGAGAGGGATTAGGTAGGATCAATTCCTGGTGGATAAAATTTGGGGGTTAACAAGGCCATTGCTGCTC